GAGTAGGGACTTTTCACATTTGTTCTACATGGTTTTATGGGAAAAAAGGTAACAGGAATGAAAGATAGGGGCTATTATGGGAGATTTATAATTTTAAAGAATTGATCAAATAGATTTCCTGGTTACACATAAAAGTATAAAAATATATGGGAATGATACATTCCAAATTTAGAATAGTATTTACTTCTGGTAAGAAGATTCTACAAGCTGAACAACAAGAGGTAGGGAACACCAGGGGTTCTCGTAGAGGTTAGCAATCTCAGTGATGACCCAAATTATTGCATTTACTTATTTTAATATAAAAATGCACATGAAAAATAAAACAGGAAAAATTAGAGCACTTCACAGTAATATTAAGAATAGCCAAGGCCTAAATATCCCAAAACAGGTAAGTAGATAAAGAAGATATAATGGAAAAGTAATCATCAAAAAAAAGGTAACCTCATGCCATTTTCAGCCACAAGGATGGAGTTGGAAGAGATTATGGTAAGTGAAACAAGTCAAAAGGAGAAAGATAAACACCAGATGGTGTCACCAGTATATAGAATTTAGAGAAACCATAATAAGAAATAGGGAAAGACAATGACAACCTCAAAAGTTAACTCTTGCAAACTGGCTATAGAATTGGAAGCATCTAAAGGGGAAGGTGGAGGAATAGGAACAAAGAGGGAAGGTGGTGGACTAGGGGTGATTTGGTCGTGGGGACCATACAATGATCATACCTGATGGGAAGAACTCTGTTAGCACAGTATAAGAATAAATTATTATTTAAATAAATAATAAAAGCCAATAACCATTAAAAAAGAAAACCAACCAGTAATATTTGGATGAACTGGTGTTTTCTACTATGGATATTTTTCATTGTTGATTTTTTTTTAAAGATTTATTCATTTATGCATACAAGAGATGGGATACAGGCCCGAGGCCCGGGGGGTGAGAGGATTCACCAGAGACAGAGTGGGGAACAGAACAGGCAGACTGACGGAAATACACTGCTGAGGGGAGCAGCGGGCGAGACAGGAGAGGTCTGCTGCTCCATGTGGGATTATCGCCGGCTGGCAGGGATTGAACCCACGTTGCATAGGCTGTTTTAAATACTTTCAGTCATTTAAGAACTCTCTAATCACACCCAAAATTTTGATATTGGTTACTATTGGTTGTCACTAAAATATGAACCTGTTCATCAGAATGAGGGTATTTGGCCTACAGCTACATAGCTTAGACAATTCACAGGACAAATTTCGTTAACATAATGGTCACTATCCATCAATGATCACTCATCCATAGATTGATAGTAGAACTATAACACCTCTGCATCACATTAGAGTCTCAATAATTGCATCTTCCAAGAATCACAAGTTATATTGTTAGAGAACACTTCTCTTTATAAAAAATAGTAAATTTCAGCATTAAGGGTAGTTATCAATGACCATGCCACAATTAAACTGCTGCTGACACACTTAAGTGCATTTCTATAATAGCAGCAACTGAGCTTAGACTTGCATATTCCAAGTTTCCTATTTCCATGCAAAACACATTGCTCTTTGGGTGTTTGATCTTTAAGCAAAAGCACTTTCTTGTTTGGAGAAGAGGGCTAATTTGAAAAAGTACTAGGCTACTAGAGGACGTATAAAGAATGTGCTGTGACTGATACAAATATTTTTTTAAGTAAGCTTAGATTTTTTTTCCAAACTAACACACATCCTCTATCCTTCCTCATTTCTGTTTGCTCAGCTGGATGTCCACAGGGTCCAATTTTCCCTCCAATTGCCCTTGCACGCTAATATAATTGTTGCTCATGTGGGTAACTGGTAAGCCTGAAGCAGCATTTGTATGCATTTGTTTATGTATAGTACCTGGCAGCTTCTCAAATGAAGTATTATAATACAATCATGTATTTTTAGCTTTTGTCCATATAACAAGGCTGAATAGATATGACTCATTAAGGATGTTGTATTTTTAGTGCTTCAAAAGCAGAAATATGCAAGCATAAATCCTCTTTTTAGCAGTTAATGTTTCTCTTCATTTATCAAATAGAGTCCATGAACTTGAGGCTTAGATGCCTACACTCTGTCCTATATTCCCTCACTGCTTTCCTCCCCAAACGGAGCCAAATTAATGAGATTTAAACAAACTGACACAAACAAACGAACATAAGCTTAAAAATGAAGTAAAGTCAGTATCACTTAACATGCACTTGATAAAGCAGTAAAAATGGCCAGCTTCATAAATTCTTGATTTTTGAGTACATTTTAAATATTGACAACATGGGACATACACAGCACTTGACTAGTTGCTTGATTGTTTATTCTTGAGGAGAAGGACTTGTGTGACTGTTGGATTTGCCAGCTGAACTAACCACTTTTTTCATGGAACACTGTTTTTTACTTGAAAAAGTAACTGAAGAACCAAGGATTTTTAGTCATGGGTACTTGGCAAACATTTTCTCAAAAATGAGTGAACCTGTCAGTTCAAGGAGAACCAATACTAGTATGTGGTTACCAATGATAAAATTCAAGATTTCAAGGGAAAACAAAATTTGGAAAAATGTAATATGTTATTATAAGCACAACAGTTTTCCAGTTCTTATTTTTCTAACAAGATCAGTGGTGATTTTTTTATACTTAACTTTATAAAAGGAAATGTGTCAACACTTGTAAGATTTGCATTACTCTAATAGTTTCCAAATGACCAATGAATAATGTCACAAAATCATGTATGGGTTAAGGGCCTTTGAAAGTAAAAAAGAGACGAGTAGATTTTAATGTAACAGAGTATGAAGAGTTCCTTGGCATTGTTTCTAGTTCCACATTGAAACTAAAATTTAAGGAACCATCAATTGTTGAGTTTTTATGTAGCTGCAAAGAATATCTAGTCACTTGAAAGGAATATTAAAATCTTCCTCCTTGGTTCTTCTAAAAATTAAAAATAAAACTACCACATGATTCAGCAATTCTATTTCTAGGTATTATTCAAAGACTATGAAAACACTAATTCAAAAAGGTATATGTACTCTTATGTTCACTGCAGCATTTAGAATAGTCGAATTATGGAAACAACCTAGTTTTCCATGGACAAATGATTGGATAAAGACGTGTGTGTGTGTGTGTGAATACTACTCACCTATAGAAAAGATAAAAGTTTGTCATTTGGGACAAGAAAAATGGAACTTGAGGGGATTATGCTAAGTGCAACATATCAGAAGGGAAAAGAAAAATACCAGATGATCTCATTTATATGGGGAATATAAAGAAACAAAGCAAATGAACAGATAAAACAAAAATCCTTGTATTCAGACAACAGAATTGAGGTTACCAGAGGGGGTGAAAGTGGAGGATTGGGGGATGGGAGGATGGGAGTAAAAGGTAGAGAGTGGGTCCAGTAGACTTTGGTGGAGAATCATTAGTATTTTGGTGGTAGGTATGGCTTGGTATCACACATTTCAAGAAGTGTAAACCTGTACTCCAAAACATATACAGTGTTACAAAATAATGTCACCGCAATAAAAATAAATCAAATATTCCTCCTTTTCCTAGCTGCATTATTTGCACAATACTGGATTTTTCCAGGTACTCCAACCAGACTAATGTAACAAGTTGAATGCAGTACCAGTACAAGTATCCAACTCTCTTTTATGAAGGCAGATATTAAATTTTTCCAAAAATGTAAAATTATGGCTCTCTAAAAAATGCATTATGTTCACATGCAAAGGCTTCAATGTGTTTAAATGAATTAATAAAGAAGCACTTAAAATATTTCTGTTTAATTTCAATATAGTCAATACTGACAACCCACATAAACAAAACTCTTTGGACTTGCAATAATTTTCATGAATTTAAAGGAGTCAGTCCTGAAACCAAAACATTTGAGATTTGCTGTTACTAATCATCACTGAGAGCACAATTTCTGAAAATGCTATTTAGAATAAGAGCAAGAGAAATTAAAAAGGGAACAAGATTAAAGTTTTATAATTCTTGAAAGGTTATCAGAATGTAACAGTTTGCTTTGATTTACCAATGTAGCAAAAGTAAATTTTATTTGCAGGGTCTCCCCTGGTGGCTCAGCGATTGGGCGCTGGGCTGCGAAGCTGCCCGCAGCCTCTGCAGCGCCAGTTCGATCCCCGGCCACCGGCAAGGGTTCCACATGGCACGACAGACCTGTCCTATCTCGCCCACTGCTCCCCTCAGCAGTGTATTTTATCAGTCTGCCTGTTCTGTTATCCCACTCTGTCTCTGGTGAATTCTCTCACCCTCCCACGCTTCTGACTGTACCCAGTGCTTGTATAAATAAATAAATAAATCTTTAAAAAAATTTTTTCTATTTGCAACATCACCAATTCATTTATCTGTTAATCCAGTTTATCAACTTTTTATAATACAAATTTTAGAAAGAATTTTAAACAGAGTTAATAAGCCCCATTTTACAATCTCCAGGCAGTTTCTATTCCTTCACCATTTCTAAGACATTTCAGGTGATATTTTTGACTAATTTATACTCACTAATACAGACTCCTCCTATGGGAATTCTGGCATACAGAAGACAATTGAGACTTGAGAAATCTGTCAATAAGAAGCTGTCCAAATACTCTTAATTAAAATGTAATCTCAGGAGAGCAAAAGCTTTAACTCAATATGCCCAGATTTAAAATAGAGCCTAGACGTATACTTAAAATCTCTGCATTTTATATTGTGTAAATTATTCCTCAAAAAAAAAATTTCCACAAAATAGAATTTTACAAAATTATTTATTAAATTAGGAGACTGAATCTAGCCATCTTAGTCATCTGTAGGCAAATATGCATTCAACTCTCATGTATACCTGAGAAATGAATTAATTCTTCTTCTTGAAAATGAATTAATAGTGAGATTATAGTACAATAATATCCTAAGGTTACTAACTGAACAGTCATCCAAATTGTATAAAACTAAAAAAGTGAGCTATCAGGCTGATAAGGGCTGAAATCTAGAACTTGGGTTGATTTTAATAAAGAAGGGAGGGAGAGAAAAACAACCCTATGTTTTTAAAAAATATTTATTAAAAATAAGATTTCTAAAAATACAATACATAATACATTTCAGGAGAAGTAAAAATTCCACAATTTAAATTAAACACAATATGCAAAGAAAAATAGAAATATTACATGAATAAAATTAAATCACAAAATAAATTTCAAAAAAAATTGTTCTTAAGGTAGATGATGTGTTGTTTTTTTTTCATTTTAAGAACCAGTGTAGATGTTTCATGTAAATAGGAATATTTCAGGAACATGGTTCTCACATGTCATTAACCTCCCTCTTCCCTGTTATCTCTCCACGAGTATATTCTTTATTATCATTCATCAGCACTAGAAGTTTTGTGACAATTTCTCTTTAAATGCTCTTAGGGGAACAGCCAAGGTAAAACAACAGACAAAGCACAGGAAAACAGCACTCAGATTTAAATATATGCACTAAATGCAAAAATGCCCAACAGATTTAGAAACAGGATCTTCATATGGATATTGGAACATACCATTATTAAAATAAAAGTTTTTCTTCTCAGGGAGATGATAGACACAATTTGAGGTTGCGACAAGATTTTAGGAGTGTAAAAATAACACAGATAGTCCCTATTCGTCAATCTTGGCAGTCAGAATTTAAAAGACTTAACTCCACACACAGAGTTCATACAGCTTGATCATCTGTGCTCAGTCTCACCAACAGCCTGTCCTGTCCCCCACCTGGGACTTTCAACTCCCTTGTCTGAACCTCACTCTGATTGTAGTGCAAATTCTTCCTATCATATCAGTTGCTTTATTCTACCTGTGCTAAAGTAGAAATTTCTTTTTATATTTATCCCTGGGGGACAGCAGATAGTGGTAAATTCTCTACCACCCAGTACCCTGAACAAATTACATTCAGCCACACTAAATTATATGATACATAAACAAGGCAAATAACTCAGAAATCAGTATGTAGCAACAAAATCTAGGAAATAAATCATTGGCAGATTAGGGACATAATGTTGCTTCATCCAATTTTTCAAACATATTTTGCATTTACCTCTAATGACATGTACATCTGTATTTCTATGTGTCATTCAAAGATACAGGAGTCACATTTCACATAAATTTCAGGCTTGAATTTTTTTTCCATTCAGAATACACTGCAAAACCATAAATAATACCTACATTCAAGATGAGGTTGATTTCAGTTGACTGAAAATAATGCAAAACATTCCTAAATGCGACTGTCTGCTTTTCCAGTACATACAAACTGTTATCTTTTTGCCCGAATTTTTAACCATTTCAGTGACAGTTCAAGGACACTAAATGAATGTTTTGAAAATTTGTGGGGAAAAAAAAAATGGGATCCAGGATAGAATATATATCACAATTATATTGGGACTACTACAGTACTTCGAAAGGGCATTTTCTCCCATAATTTTTGTAAAATGAATCATTAAGCAGAATTAAGTTTCTTTTAAATAATCCTACCCTTCTTTGTTACGTAAAGCGAGTAACAACATCCAGACTTCTAATTTTTTTTATAAAGTTCAATTTTCTATTAACATCATTTACTCTTGGGGAAGTTTATATATGCAAGTGGGTTTTAAAGCATTCTTTAAACTTTATTTGAAAATAGATAAATGGCAATACTCTTTCATGCCATTAAAGATTATACACACTCACATACACACACACACAGATGCAGTATTCTTCAATTGTAATCAGAGTAGACCCATAACTTCTAATTTTAGCATTTTGTTTCAGCATTCATTAAAGGGGTCCAATAAACTATATAATTCATTTATAGAAATAAAAGTATAGTTATTATTTCTTATGTATTCCTGCAAAAAAAATTTTGTGAAAAGTGCTTCAATTACTTTTTGTAACTTCTACCTATTAAACTACCTTTTAAATAGCCAATCTATACTAAAATACAAAAGGAAACCCAAACTAATCTGCCTAACTAAAAAAGTGTACTCAAGTGAGATTTAAAACCAACCAAACTGAGGCAGCAGTGTGCAAAAACTAAGATCTGTTAATATTTCTTTGTAACATTAAATTCTATTTTACAAACACAAGGATGTAAAAAGAAAACTCTGAGTCAACCAAAAAGAAAATTAACTCTTTGGTACAGGAATTAAAAATGTCACTCAATGTTAAAGTGAGTAGCACCAGGATGCTGTAGTTGTTGAGGTTGTAAAACACTAACTTCAGGCACCAGTAGGTTACAATGTCACCCAGTGCATACTGGCAAGAACACAGAGCTTAGCAATATGCAGACAAGCTTTCCCTTTAGTTAACAGTCAGTGCAACTAAACCCTGTACTTAGTCAAACAGGCAAGTGAATCTACAAAAAGAAAACACATCTTTTGTTGATGCAGCTTTGTCCACATTTTTGTTTATATATAAAGCTATCAATACCAAAAAAGATCAGAATGTTGTGTTGAGCTGTGAAAAGCACATTACATGTTGCAGGTATTCACAATACCGAAAGATATGAAGACCTTCAAGGTATCAAGAATTCCAAAATTGCCCAAACTTTAAGGTAAAAATTATCTTTTATATACAAAATCACTTTTCCTCTAGTGATAAACTTCATTGTAATACTTGAGACCTATAAATAAGGTCTCAGTTTTCTCAATCAAACTTGGGCAACCTATTCATTCCTCCTTGACATTAAATAGCTGCACCTTCCACATTATTCTTAATACTTCATATTAGCATACACGACACTTATAATATTTAAAAGTAGAATATCATCTCAAAAGTATCTGGCCAGCTGAAGAGACCCACATTATAAATTCCTTGAATAAAATAAGTACATGTACTAACAACTCTTACATTAAAATGGTGTCAATAGAGATAAAGGCTGAAATGACTGCAGCAGGGAGGTTTTCCAATGTCATAGAAAGTCTATGCAGTCAGCCCTGTTATTGAGAAGTTGATTATCCATATTCTAGCTAACCTTCTCTCAATTTTAATAAGGGTCTCCTATTTTCTTTGTCCAATATTTTGACTACTCACTACTCTTTTGTACTTGTCCTCTACAGTGGATAAGAAGAAAAGGACATAAGAACATTAAAGATATAATAATGGAAAATACTGGCAATACCAATGATAAAATTTTTAAATAAGATACTTATATCTGTTTCAAATTAGCACTAGCAGGCAGTATTGCAATATCCAAAGAACAAATATGCAGCAAATTTGTTGTTAAAAATTGAACAATTATAACAAAAGGATACATACATCAGCGAAAGCTCTTTCCTGAAGTTTAAAACCATCATATAAAGACAGCAGAAATGCTAAATATCAGTTTAAAGAATTAACAACACTGGATCAGAAGACTTCAAGCAAGTTGGTTCTATTACTTTCTCAAATTCTACAATGGAATAGTCTAGAATTCCCCTGAAAATGGCTAAAAACAGAATATAATGCGAATTATGATTAATAAGAAAATTACAAGAATGATTTCTAGTATTGAAAATAATAAATGTGCACATTAAATAATATACTCATTCATTAGTTAATTATATGGTTAATAATACTAGCAAGCAGAACATACTAAACGACTTACTAACCACACTTGCCAATACTTACATTTTTGAAAGCAACAGTAGCTGGATTAGAAGAAACAAAACCTAATACTTGTACCTATTACTAAACTACTTAATGTTTGTAAGTGTAAAGTTTAGCAAATAAATTTGAGATATAGCTACATATATTAGAGTTCATGTAAAAAACTTGCTTAATGCGCCTCCCTGGTGGCGCAAGGGATTAAATTTCAGCATTAACAAGCTATGGAAGATATAGCAGCCACTGCAGCACAAGTTCCATCCCTGGCCAGAGTGCTAACCCACATGGTGCAGAAGACCTCCCCTGTCTCGCTTGCTGCTCCCCTCAGCAGTGTAACTGCCTATTCTGCTCCCTGCTGTCTCTGGTGAGTCATCTTACTCCCCACACCTCTGGCCTATACCCCAGCTCTTGTATGTATAAATAAATACATCTTTAAAAAAAAAAAACTTGCTTAATGGAAGCAGCTATAAACTAATGAACTTGTGTTGGGTAAACTTTTAGAGAAAAGTCCAGGGAGAAACAAGCAGCTCTTTTGATGAATATTAATGTCATTGTAAACCAGGGCTGGACAGACTATGATTTTATAGCAACACATGTGAGAACACTTGTAGTACCCTGTGATCCAACACATGTAAAACTGTGTGGTCATAATCTAAATAACTTGATGCTTCCTGGATAGAAGTGTTGTCCTAACTTAAGTGTTTATGATTAGCATTCAGAATTAATATGCCCCTCTGGGTGAAATATGTTACTTCTATGCACTTCAACTAACTACTAGAATAGAAGTCACTTGAAAAAGTCTAATAAAAAATAGCTGTAATCCTTAATCCTTAGAGAAAAATACCACTAAGCATTAGCAGAAATTCACTCATTAATTGGGACAATTCTAACTCAGTTGTTAAACTATACTTTATGTATGCTTACTGTCTCTACTTCTATTACTATTAAAAGCAAACTATGCCTTCTTCTGTTAAGAGGTTAATTAACTGTAATTTTAAATATAGCTATCTCATATTAAACATAAATATTTTTAATACAACTCCAGCAAAATAGTCATTTTCTTATGCTGGAAGATCATTGATTATTAAAGTGTAAGTCTTGGTTACAAAGTACAATTGAATGTTCACTGTTTGAAGGATTCTGAACTCAGTCAACTTTTACCTACAATTTTATGTCCATAAACATTTTTCTTTGCAGAAAAGAACAACAAACACAACTATTCAGGACATGTAACATAATTCTAGGTAAAAATCTTTCATGTCCAAAAGTCTAATAAACGACTTTTCTGATGTAAAACATCCTTTAGCATACATTTTTCTTAAAATGTAACGGAAGATGAAGAAATAGGTCATCTAATAAATAGATCAGATCAGCAATCTCACTACTCATAATTATTTCAAATGCTCAACAACATTGGTTATTTTCATGATTCTCCAGAATATATAGATAATTGGCTACTACAACTGTAGCTGTAACTCTAACTCTGACTAGGGAAGTTTAAAAAAAATGAGGAAAGGAAGTATAGAAAGAATTATTTACTTCTTATTTCTTAACATTTTAATGCAATAGTAGGATAAAAATCATTCCAAACTGAGATTAAGAAAACTAAATGTATTTTTTAGATATGCAATAAAACATATTAGATACTTGTTTGCCACTGTAACTACAATAAGTTTCTCTGTTTCATAATAAATGTGTAATTTTAATGTAACATCTTAAATGTGTAAAATTTTAATGTAACATCTTTTCTCATTTTAAGAACCTAATTTGTCAAAATAAGGCTTAACATAAAATTCATGAAATGGTTTACATTTGTTTATCCTTATCTAATACAAATTTGATAGTAAAAATAAAAGACAATACATAAATGAAGAAAAGCAGTCATATTTTCATGAACTAGACACTGACAATATACACAAGAACACATTCATTTCATAAAATTTTACATTTTTGTACATATACTCCCCCTAAGTTTGTACCTCTGATATGAAGAATTTGACTATACAATTTACTTATGAGGCAGTAACTCTCTAGAGCCAGTATAATTACACCAATTAGCCAAAAGAGGGCGCAGAGAGAACACTGGAGTTTACATACTCCCTAGGAAACTCAAGTTATCTAAGAATTACAAAACTGAGTTAGGTGTGCTAACTTGGGAATACCAAAAGTTACAGGATTAAGTATAGATAGCGATACGTTAATATAGGTTCTTATATAAGCATATTGATATATAGCATTTCTGCCATTCGAACAAAACACACACATTCCTTGCCTAGTGTTTGTATTCAAGGAACTTAGAGAAACTGTAAATACACAGGGATGAGGACCAAGGAAGGTAAAAGAGAAGGCGGGAACAGGATGGGTGCTATAAGTGGGATAGCTAAGAAAAAATAAAACAAAATCCTCATAATTGGGAAAGTGACCACCACTGCTTCTCATTATTAAAGCAAATGTTGGTACTGAATATCTCTAGTACCGTTCAAAGTAGCTGTTATTATATGAAATATAAATATGTTTTATAAAGCACTTTAAGGAGTCTTGACTAAACTTTGTGATTTTCTCAAGGCCCTCATTTGAAATGAATATATTCAACATGAGGCATTCAACTGATCTATCTACAATATCTATACATTATTTCCTTATAATAGATAGTTCTAATACCAGGTCAATTTGGTCAATAAATTAGCTAGCACAAACTGAACCTATTTGCCTGACACAAACTACCAATTCTGTGATTCATTAAGCTCTATAAATATATTTCATATTAAATTTACTATGTATCTTATCAGCACCAATAAGTATTTTCATTTGCCACTCTAAGTTTTTAAATAAAGCATTCTAATCAAACACGAAAAACATGGTACTTATATCTGAGAACAGCTTAGTCTATTATTTTAGAAGATATTTACAATTTCTGAAAGAACATAATTAATTGACTGACAATTGTAACCTTCTGTTCTCGTGATTTCCCAGGTATGACTTCTTATTATCAAAACTAAAAGGAAAATATTGACATGCGCCAAGAACAGAAAACCCCTTCAATCTTCTCTTCAAGGGAAAGACTGACACATATATATATACATATATATATATATGTATATATACACACACACACACACATATATACACACACACACATATATATATATTTTAAAGATACATGGATTTTGCAGTATTCTAATGGAAAAAAATTTTAAAGCTGAATTTTTTTCAAAGCATGCTACATGTCTTTTCACACAAATTTCTATGCTTTTCAAGAGACCATCACTATTTGCAATTTAATTTGTATATGGCTAGTGATATAGATCATTAAATTTTCTTATTTCAAAGTCATTTCCTAACACTAGCTACTAATAAAAGGTCTTTTAATCTAAATCATCGTTGGCCAATTTCAATTTAATTTCAATTTGGAGGACTGATTATGGATAGACAAAAGTTACATTTATTAGTAACTTCCTATAAATAAAATTTCAATGTCAATTGGCCAATATCTATTAAATATAAACCTTTATTGTACAGTTTTAGATCTATTAGTAGGTAAATAAAAGTATATGTATTTTCAAAAGCACAATATTCCTCTTTATACTGTACATTATATATTACCTAGTTATACTAGCATCTTAAAAACATATGCATTCTAATATAACTGCACTAGAAAAAGTATCTGTGAAATTATTGCAAATTCTCTACCCTTTTCCCTCATCAAAACCTTAGGGTAAAATAGGACTACATGCCCACTGCTCACAAATTTCTCCTTGGAGCAAATATTTTAACCACCACCACTTAACACAACGGTATAGGGAGGAAAATGGAGGGCTAATGTGAACCAAAAATTTAAGCTTTCTCTAAATAAGGTAGGTAGTTGGTGTTTTATTTTAGTGGTGTTTTTACTTTCTTTTGATGAAGAAAAAGTAGAAAAAGCTAGAAAGCTACTTCTAAGAAAACACTGCCCCTTTTATTTTGTTTTATTGTCATTCAATCCTAAACTGTATTTTAAAAAATCCTGCAGCACATATAAAAGGAAGTATATATTTTATATTGTACTTGAAAAAGAAAATTTACATATAAGATGTATCAACCTTTGTAAAACCTGAACAATTAATTTCAGATTTGGTTAGTACTGCTTAGAGTGAAAATTTAAATAAACATCTGAAATGTCCAATAAATTAAAATAAGTAATATTGTCAGTACTAAAAGAAATCATGTAAATTATTTTAAACCAATCATTGCCTTTTGATATTAATAACAAAAGCATTTAAAGAAATCCCTGTGGATACCAAATTTGAAAGTAAACATGCTTTAAAACTTAAATATAGATCTTGTATTAGTCCCACAACAGGATCAAGATCACTATTAAAATAAAGCCTGGGGCACATTATGATGCCTAAGATTGGTGGGTGGATTTTAATTGACTTGAAGACTGTCATAGTTCTATTATCAGAAAACCTGTAACGCATTTCCAGCATGGAGGACCCATCTGTGCCCACCATCCATCTGTTTAGACGTGATTGGCAAAGTGGTAGGGAACTCGCAGTGGTTGCCTCTGCCTGAAAGGAATAAACCACAGGATCTTCCAACGAGTGCCAAAAACTTCTGAGAAGGTCTGCTGCCATGGCTTTCGGGGCCTCGATCTACAGAAGACAGCATTATTAGTGAAAGACAGCACTCCCATGGTGCACTTCAGTCAGCTAAAACAATACAGGTTGGCTGGGGATCCATTACTGGACTCTGATGAATTGTGTCCCAGCATCACAAATACAGCTTTTCTTTCATTATGGCATGCAGCTGAGTTTTAACTCTGGATAGCAGATATTGTATCTGTGTCGTCAATCAACCAAGAGGAACTTTTGAAGCAGAGGAGAATCTCAGGATTAACAGAATGTGTGTCAACAACACAGTAGCAAATCTCTTTTGATGTACTTTCAGGACAAATAATTCAATGTACTTTAGTTAGACAAGGAACAAGAATTATCAGTATTTATTTTGCTCAAAAACTATCATGGCTAGAAGATTCCTGCTATAAGACTGATTTACACTTGTCTAGTTCAGGCCCTAGACAAGACACCAGGAAAATTATGTTTCCATTATGTTGCACACATCTTTCAAATGTGACCAGTTGTTTCCATTTTTAATAATAACACCATAGACTTCATTTATACTTACATTTCTTCACAACAGTTTGACATCTTTTCAATAGATGTTGTATCCTATTAAAAATTAAAAAAATATACTTAGTAACTAAGTTATCAAGACTTTGTATTTCATGTTTTTATTCAGTTTCTTCTAAAGATACAGAGTTTATGTATGAGTACTAAGAATTTTAAATTATCTATATACATTGCCAAAATTCCCCTGAAAAAACAGAATCAGTGTTACAGCATAACAAAATTTTTTTTCAATTACAAACTTCACAAAAATTATAGAAACTCACCTCATTGAAATACAACCTTTTATTATACTCCTTTCCTTGATAATCCTTTTAAAAGTCTAGTATCTATTTTTAATTCAACTGTCAGTGAATGTACAAAAAAAAATAAATACCCAATGACAAATGAAAGATACTAAAGAACAGAAAACTGCCAACAGCGTAAGAGGGTTACTGGCTCTGGATTTCTGTAAGCAAACGCAAATTCAACAAGGCATTCACCACACTACAATATCTATTACTTCAAAACAGGGAAGTTAACAGATTAGTGTATCCTGATAAAAACTATTTCCTTTTGTTCGATAGAAAAGTCAGTCTCTTCATAATAATGCAATTTCTTATTATGTGTTTTCTGAGGCTCAAAACACAAATATATAAGAAAAACAATTCAACAAACAGAAAAAAAAGATTGTAAACATACTGGCTTCATTAGCATTAACAGAAGATCTATGAATAGACTGAAAAATTATGGTAACATTGCAAGATCAGACCACTTAATTTTTATTACATGGAAATATACTAGATTATAACTTTGAGGACTTCATCTAAGAAAAGTTTTTTCAAGTACTTCTGACATCTTTCTAGAATGTGTTCCAAGAAATAAGTAGACTACTACCTACTAAATCATTGTAAATGTTTGGTTACTCTATCAAAGGATGTGATGTTCACCATGAGTTTATGAACAGGATTTAAGAGGCTAGCTAAAAAATGCTATTTTTCCCCACTAGAAATGAAAATGCTTATCTCTTTGATATCCAGAATACTACTGAAAAAGTATAATTTGTATTTGAACAGCCAAACATGTCACAACATTATTGCACTGGCACTTATTAAATGCACTAGAGCAACACAAGTTATGACACAAACACATTCACAATTGAAACAGCAAACTAGAAGAAGAAAGGATACTGAGTACCAAAAGTTATTCTCAAGTGCTAAATTACATATAATACATGTTTTTTGATTTTACAAAGCAGAGAGAAGTATGAAATATTTTATCGAAAAAGACAAACTCATGCCATTCGCAGAATGAGGATGGAGCTAGAAGGAATTCTGATCAGTGAAATAAGCCAGAAGGAAAAAAGAAAAATATCGGATGGTTTCACTAATAGCAGGAATATAGGGGAACCAAATAAGACATCAGTGTAAAAAAATAGTAACAGTACAAAACACAACAAAGCAAAAAAGGGACTATTATAAATCAGAGACATACTGTAAGGTGGGGGGAGGGAGAGGGGTCAGAGGGAAGGGGGAGGAGTACAGGAGACTGAGGTGATGGTGCACAGGTGCATTGGTGAAGGAAACTTTATGAGGACTATACCTGGGGGTGGTGGGGGAAGCAAATACTCTTTAAAAATGAACAATGATGTAAAAAATAAAAAAAAATGAAAAATGAAAAAAACACACTAAAAATAATTAAAATATTTTTGGACATGTAATTCCTTTAAGATTTAGTATTTCCTGTAGGGACCAGTAGAAAATAGCCAGTAAGATATATATCTTCATTAAGTATAGCTTATAAAATCTTAGTTATGTGTAAATCACAGCTATCCAGTAAAATCCATTCTTCAAGGACTGATAAGAAACAAGCTTTGATTGTATAGGATCTACCATTAGGTTATCTTACTTCCACAGAAGTATTTATGTCTGAATATGATCTTATGTTAAAAAATCTAAGATTTTCATTAGTCTATACAAGTAAAAGAGACATGAGAATGCTTTCCTATTTAAAAAAAAGGGTAAGTTTCTTTTCTTTAAAAACAAAAAAGAATAAACTAGAAACAGAAGACTTACAGAAACACAGGCCTTACCTACTTTATCAACCATGCTTTTCTTCTCATGATGGTTGGCTGATCTTACCCTAAGAAATGGTCTTTCAAGTTCTAAGGAAATATGCTTGGCTACAAATGAAAGCTGTATCCTAACTAATGAGATTATGCCTGAATGAGGGAAAAAAAAAAAAAAATTCCTAGCAGAAAAGGTAAAAAAGGTATGCATTGCCTATTAGGAAAAATGAGAGATGGGGGACAAGTAAGAATTTATCACCAAACTTTTCCTTGGTTAACAAATCAGAGAATCCAGTCCTCTTGGAACACGACAACTTAATGATACAATCCATCCAATATCTCGTCCTGCTTGGAGTTCATTCTTACTATGCAACACTGCCATATATGTTCTTATATGGCAGAGAGAGTGTGCTGAAGAGTCCTTTGGCATATCTGAAGATGGCATATAAGGGAATAAACAATCTATCTGATTATAAGACTACTGCTTTGGAGTCTGGAAGTAAGAAAATTGCCTTTGGATCTGATTAACACTGGAAATATTTTTATTTTATTTATTTTTCTTTGGGAAATCTTTTTTAAATGGAGTTTATAGACTGACAGTCTGAAGACATGATGAAAGTAAGAACATTCTATCAAAAAGACTCCTTGAAGTGAGTTCAATCTAACCTCAATGATCACTTTATTATAGGTCTTGGCAATGCTTTCAACTGTTGCACATACCTAATTCATTGACTGCTGATTTAATCTGAGCTTAGAAACATTCTCAGGAAAGTTTTCCACAACTAGAGATTATATACCTGTTTTATCTCTTATTAATTTCTACTACTTCTGAAATGGACTTCTGTGACTTTCTAGGACCTCTAATCAACACAGGGACTGAACTCTAATCAACTGAACTTTAATCAACACAGCTCACTGAACTTTGCATCATAGCACTAACAAGCATAAAGTGTGTTCTCAATACATACACTGCCGCATTAAATTAATTGAACATGGAGAGAAACAACAGATTCCTTATTTTAAATTTCTTTCTCTCTTTTTGAAATCTAGAGAGAAAATTTCCTGCCAATCTAATGAAGACATGATCCATTATTATCCCTCATTTGAAAGAGTTAAATATCCATCTCTAACTCAGCACCAGATAAGTCATTCATTAGAGAACTGAAATTCACATAAACGTTTAATCAATCATGGAACTAAAGTGAGAGGGCAGATCTTATCATTATAGACACTAAATATGTATTTCCAAAATAATTCCCATTCTTTTCTTCTTCAAGCCACTTTCTGACTGTCAAAAACCTAAAACTCTGCATCTCATTCTTCAAGTCATAATTACCTCATAGGTTTTTGTACAGATTAATTAATATATGTTAAATCCCTTAATAACTCCTCAATAACTGACATTCCTAGTTTTTACTAGTTGGTTACTAAACACTTTCTGACAGAGTTTAGAGATATAACCTCTCACTACACCAGAATTTAACTTTTAAAAATGGTTACACAAACAAATGGCTTTTATAATGGAAGACAGAATGACAGAGACCATGGGAGGATATACAGATAAAACCCAGTGTGTACAAGTTTATAATCTATCTTTTTCTTAAAAAGTTCTAAAGTTGGCATAAACCACACTCACTTATCTCAAAATTTTTACTGAGTACCTATTAATCAAGGAGTTTGTTACCTAGAGAAATTAGTCAAGTAAATATACAAAAAAGTAATTCTGCAAGAAAACACAGAGGCCATCAGAGAGGACGATTAATACAATGACATACTGTATTAATAAGACTTTAATCTGAGCTTAGAAACATATAAAATAGCTTAAAAATTACTTGCAGTTAATACTCAAATTCAAATACTCTTAGTTTAAAACAAAAGTATACTTTCAGTAAGATTTTTGGCTGTGAGTAGATGTAAGATGGTAGTAACTAAATATTGGTAAAAAGGGACAGAGAAACAAATGAATCGTTGAGGGAAAAGGCTCTACAAGTTAACTAAAACATAAGATTTTACTGTTTTCTCCTATCCTATAATGTTCGAAAGTCATATTAAATATTTATGTGGATTCAGAACATGAGATAATAAAATGATTGTCTAGGGAAAGCTGCAAGTAAAAGGAAAACTCAAATGTTTAGCTTCCTTACCATTAAAAAAAGCATCTGTTTAATCACTTAAGCAATTAACAATGCTTTAAAATTAAAATGCACTATTCCTACTGAAAAAATATATATAAATAGATTGAAAACATTTTTTAATTACTTTTAATCTTATGAGAAATATTTCCAAGGAGTATATTACACTAAGCAAACAGAGATGATATAATACAAATACATTTTCGCATAGGGATAAGTTTATGATAAAGATCACTCCAATTCTACATATAATCATTTTGAAGATAGCAGGAATTTTTAAAAAGATTTTTATATTATCATACAATGTAACTTAGTATGTATTTAAACTAAATTCCTTGGTAAAGAGGAGTCTAGTTTCTATGAAACTTTCTATTATATCCAAAATTCAAAGATTACTATTATAGACAATATTAATATATGATATTAAAAACACCTAAAAGCAACATTTTAAATTGTAATGAATATTCTAGGTTTTAAAAAACTAAGAAGATATTTCATATGTAGTATATTGGAAATACTACATTAGAAATGCATTTTGTTTTAATTAAACAAAAATATAATTTAAAAAACCCAGAATGCTGTAGAGATTCCTTTATGAAAAGTGAACTGGTTTCAGCATAATTAGCATTGATTTCCATATTTGCAATGCTGATTTGGAGTTGAGTAAACCAATATAATCTGTACCGAGATTGTGCTAAATGCTGCTAATTCACAGCAGTCAGTGGGATACTTGGCAAAATTTAATTGCTAAGTATTAACCTCAGGACTACATTTCTAGGTATATTTTAAAAGTAAAGTGAAAGTCCACTAATTGTCTAGATATAGAGAGCACTATTTAATAAATAAACTCATTTAAAATAATT